CGCTTGATGTGGCGTGAGGCAGCTCTTGTCTGCTGCGATGGAACTGCATGGGTGGGTGCACTGGTAGCACTTGGCAAGTAGGCCAATGGATTTATGCAACCTGGGTCAGCAGGGAGGCAGACGTGAACTGGTTGACACAAGACCCCCAGATCTTTTTATGCGCTGATCCCCACATTAATGGCTCTGGGGCTGAGGCTGCTTCCCTCCAGGAAAAGGCCAGCCTACAGGAGCAGGAGCGGGATTGGGAGCAGGGTCCTGCTTGCATCAAAATGCTGATATTCACTCATGCTATTTTGAGAGGAAGGGGCAGCAGGTAGCAGGACTATCTCGTACTGGAGGTGGCCAAAGAACCTCCTTGAATGAATGTTATTCACAGCTGCCTAATCTAGGGAACTGCTTTGGACTGACTTACTAGAACTTTGACAGCCATTGACTGGTGCCAGACACAAGTGACATATAAATTCAACTGTGTCCAGGAATTTGCACTGAGTACCAGAAGGGTCCAGAAGTCACAGCACTTCCACAGAAAAACCCACTCCTGCTTACTACCTGTCTTCCTGCCAGTGGCTGTTATATTAGCTGTTTAATTTAGGGCTGAGGGATATTTAAAACAGATAAACAGAAATCCTTGTCAATCTACTAGCAGATCCTAACCTACCTTCTGACTTAGTGAAATAAACTGCTCCACACTGCAAAATTTCCTCTCTACAGGCTCACATCCACAAAAATTCCCCAATCTTTTACACACACAGCAGCAATGCAGAAGTCTCAAGCTGGCCTCCCACCTGACAGAGTTCTACTGCAGCAGGGCAGTGATTAAAAAACTAAGCTGTGAACAAGCATGCATTTAGTTTAGATTTCACCTTTGTCATAACCTCACTGGGTGCCTTTAGATTAAGTCTGTTCCAACTCAGCTCTGCCTTTCCTTCTCTCTTTTTAAATATGGGAAATGAGAATACTGACCTACCTGTTGTAAGGACTGCTAGGAACATGAGCATGCTTTGAGTACTCTAATTCACTCAATTAATGCCAAGTATACTGGAGCTCACAAACTCCTGCTAAAATGGGGACAGAACTGCAGTTCATACTTGCTCCCAAAAATCTATTCCATTGCATGCACGTGTCTCTTGTTCTCATCAGTTGCTGCTTCGGTAATAAGCTGTAGTTGTTACGACTTAAGCCATTAAGATTAGTCTCAAAAGCCCCCCGCCCAGCCAAGTCTGGCCCACCTCCCACCACTGCAAGCAGGACACCTGGCACAATCAGTCCCCAGCCACCTCTCTGCGCATGCTGCACCACGGCTCTGAAACGGAGCCGCTGTGTCAGTCTTTGCCTCCCCACCCCTCACTTGCTGCAGGAGCAGGAGCAGCAACAGCGTGAGTGGCAGGTTCTATTTATACCCGATGCCTGTGGAACGAAAAGGGGGTGGGGAAGAGCAGAGCCAAGCAGAGGAGAGAACTCAAGTGAGCATGAAGACGTCTCCACATCTCCTTGCCTCTTCTCCACACGGCCCCGCAAGAAAAGCAGCTAGACTAAGAGGGAAAAGCAAGCACCGCAGTCATAAATCCAGTGCAGAAGCAGACCGCCTGACATTACGCTGGGCAGTGGAACCAAGATGGCTGTCAGGCTTCCCTCAGGTCACTCACCAGGCTGCAGCAAGGACTTAGCTTAAGCAAGCAGGGTTCACTGACCCACTCAGAGACAAATCCTCCTTCTCCAACACTCTCCTCCCCCACAGTTCTTAGGCATGAGGATTTGCTGCTGCATCTCAGAACAAGTCCTCTCCTCAAATTAGGAACAGGGCCCCTGGTTTCTGTTCTCTGGTTTCCCCAAAAGGAGCAGCCCTGATCCAGCATTACTCTCCATGGGTCAGAGCCTTAACACTGAGAAGGGCTTTCATTCTGACCACTCACAGGCAGCTCTAATTAGCATCCCGTGGCCTGCCCCAGGTGGATATTTAAGTCACTCCCAGGGGAGGGGGGCACACTGCACATTCTGCAAGCAACCTCGCTGCATACCCATCACCATGTACATTTAAACTGGGGCGGGGGGGGGGGGGAGGCAGCTGCGCCTTTGTTCTGAGGGAAGTACCCAGCCAGATATCATTACCATAAAGGGCGAGGCTACTCTTCAAGTGCCTTCAATTCTGTGCAGGATCAAGCCAGCGTGTCCTGGCATGCTGACTGCTCCACAGCGTTAAGTGGTGTGGAAGCTGGGAATATCAGTGTAACAGAAAGCCTGTCGGCCTATCAGAGCCTCACCTGCTCCTGCTGCAACTGCAATGACCGTCCAAGGTCAGGATGAATCTGCTGCCTCAGGGAAGCACACTGGGCCTGCCCGGGCACTGAGTCTGCATTCATCCAAGTATGCTGAGCAGATAAGTCTTTAAACCCTCTCTGGGTTCTATTAATGCCATCAGATCCCCCAGTTTAGCCCCGGGTTAGACAGATGTTTAAGATGGGGGAGGCAGCAAGGTGCGGATTTCTGCAAGAGGGGCCACAGCGTCATCTCCAAGGGCACTGCAGCAAGGCGGCTGCCAGCCAAGCAGACCAACTACTCTTTTAGCAAGCAAGACATGAGAAAGTGCAGGAGCGAAGAGCCTGGGGGGACAAGGGTGCCTTAAAAACAGAAGTGGCCCAACAGATACATGCCTCCCCACAGAGCGCTACAAGCTGGTAGCCCTGAGTTAGAAACAGAATTGCCCCTCCACAGAGGACTTACTCAGTTCTCAGATGGAGGGAAAGTGAGCTTAGTAGCAGTGACTCAAGCCTGGTTCTCCCTGAGACAATAAACCCCTGCCTATGCTATACTGCAGAAAGCCCCTCCACAGAGAACGCAGGGGGTCAGGGCTGCCGTTTTTTGTGTGGAGGAACTATATTGTAGAAGCATACACACAAGCCTCACACAAGCTTCTACCAGCAGTCTTCAGTGGTATAGCCCTGACACAGATGCATCCCCTCAAAGAAAGAAAGACCAACACTCTTAACTGATTCACTAGGAAGTTGGTGTAGCAGCCCCCCCCCCCCAAGTGCTCTCCCACCCAACAGTCTTTTCTGAAGTAGATGGAGAACCTACATCTTTGGGTACTGGTGGTGGGAAGAAACTATCAGCAGCTCCCAAGTGAGATCACAAGGTCCACCCATTCCTGCTATCCATGACTCCTACTTGCATTACTAACAAGGGTGGAGTACTTCTGGAGAGAACAAGAGGAAGGTGTGCTGCATCTCTGACTTACTTCTTCAACCCTTGGTGAAAGGTGCACATCCCTTTCTCGGGGTGGGGAGGACAGTGGGAGGTTAATGGAAAGGCAAACATCACCAAGTGAGAGCTTTCTAAAGCAGCCTAGAAGTGAAGACGAATCTACTAGAAGTGCTTAATAGGCACTGATGGACTCTATGGGCATTTCCAACCTTCCCCAGCCTAGTGCCTGCCAGATGTTTCAAACTTCGGTTCCCATCAGCTCCAGTCAACATGGCCAAAAGTCAGGAATGCTGGGAGTTAGGGTTAGTCTAAAATATCTGCAGGGCACCAGCCTGAGCAAGGCTGACCTACTGCGTCCCTTCTAACCAGAGCCAGCTCAAGATGCAATTAAAATTCCTGATGCCCACAAGGGCTACTGAGATCTATTTCCAGCCAGGGCAGGGGGTGGGGGGTCAGGCTAAGCAGGAGTGGCATCCAGCAAATGTCAGCCCAAGAAAGCCATGCCATTGCTGAGGAGCAGTAATCTTAAGAGTGTGCGGTAACAGTGCCACCATGTACAGTCCAAGAAGAGTGCCAGGCACAACACTCACGCAAGGTGCAGCTGTTTGTGGAGGGGAGGGAAGAGGCCTGCCTTTAAGGCAGTGTTCTCTGGACACTGTGTACCTGCTACAATCCTCCCACCACCAGTCAGAGGCCTCCGGATGTATGGAGCTACAATTCCCATCACTCTAAATGATAGGAGTTATAGTCCCACTGGGGGAGGTTGCTGTACAGCATTCTAGTCTTCACTGTGGGATGGGACAAGTACAGAGTTACTATCCTGCATTCACATGTAGCCAGAACCTGTCCCTCCAACACATGTATGCAGCCAAAGAGAAAAACCAATTCCTGTGGCATACACGCCTGGAAGTTGAAGCTTGTGTGAACCAATTTCTGGGGCTGGTCCTGCTGCAAGATGAAGCCAAAAGGGCTGCATTCCTCTTCTCTGAGCTCTGGCTTAGGAGTGGCAGGTCATCACAGCCTGTCATAACACAATTTTCCCACCATTCCTTGAGAGCAGGATAACCTAACCGACTGGATTTGCACCGAGGGCTCACAGATGCCCAACGAGACAGAGCCGCTGGTCAAGGTGCGTGAGAGGGCGCGCACGTGCGCGGACCCCAGCACGCAAGCACCGCACCGCACCGCACCGCAAGAGAACGCACCCGGAAAAGTGCGGCAACGAAGGAGGGCAGCGATGGCAGGAGATCGCTTGCTCACTCCCTTCCCCCCGCCTTGCTGGGATTTCCTCCCGAAGGGTAAGGATGGAAGCCATGTTGGCGGCCGCATTGCAGAGATCCACCCAGCTGGCCACACGCTCCCCTGCTAGGAAGGCACAGGCGCGAGGCTGACGCTTGGGAGGGGGCTGGGCTCGGGCCAGGCAGCGGGTCCACTGCCCCTTCCCCGCTGCCGAAAGCGCCCCGTCAGCGTTCCCCCGGTCCCACCCGCCTAGCCTGTGCTCCAGGAACCATCCGGCTACAGCCATCCCCACCGAGACGCAACTGCACTGGAATGCGCGAAGGGAAGGCTGATGGGCGTGGAGCGGGAGAAGGCAAACCCGCGGATTCCGCTGCCCCGCTCGGCCGCCAAGTTGCAGCCACAGCACCCACCCCCGCCGCCCCGAGCGAGATGGGGCCGAAGTCAGCAGCTGCCCTCCACGGAGACAGAGGCCCCAGCGTCCAAGTGGGAAGCGAACGCATGGGGCAGGGGCGGGAATCTGGCCCTAATTCGTCCTTGTCCCCTGCTCTCCCCGCCCTAACCTTGGCCCCGATCTGGTTGCCGCACTGGCCAGCTTGCAGGTGCACGATCTCCCTCATGGTCTCTTCGCAGTTACTCCCAGCTGCGCACGGGGTTCAATCTCGTTCGGTGGCTTCGTGAATCTCACTCTCCGCCCCGCTGCTGCGATGCGCCTTAAATAGGAGCCGGCCTGGGAGGGAAGGGCTGGCGCGAGCTACTGCGCATGTGCGAAGGCCGTCTGCCAATGCCATACCCTGCCCCACTCCGCCGTGCCTGTCGCTGTTCCCCCTGCTTTACCAGGCTGGGTAAGTGGGTTCGCCCAGCGCCTCTCTCGGTGGGTGGGCTGCACGGAGTTTTGGACAGTCGAGATCAGAAAGCCTGGAAGACATGGTTGTCCTCTTCTCCGTGTGGGTGGGGAAGAAAACATGCCTAAAGACATGCTCTATTTATTTCACATATTGTAGGGCCCTGTTCTGCTGAACTCCAGAAGTAATCCAGGGCTTTTGGACTGGAAGACTGGGCCATCCTGTGGAGGTGTATGACTGGAAGTGGCCCAGCACCTCTCCTGGGGTGAAGGCATGTTAGTTCCTTATATTGCAGCCGTGCCCTGAACCAGATGCAGGAACCACCTTCAGCTCCTATGCTGATCATGGGCTTGAAGACTTCTTTCTTTCACAGCAAGACAAGCTGTGGCTCCCCCTGCCCCCTTGCATGCAAACTCAGATGCTCTTATTTCATTGTGATTTCAGAAAGATATTCTCTGGACAGTTTACAAACTCCAACATTTAGTATTGGGTGTGGAAGCCCTTAGAACACTTTTAGGAGGCATTCCTCCATCCACCCTGCCTCCTGGTTAGAATGCAGCATTGATAGTGTTGAGTGAATATGCTGGAGTTTTCTAAACGTTGGGAGAGTCAGCGCATACAAAAGGAAGTACTTCATATGGTGCATAGTTAAACTGCAGAATTTGGTCCACTGATTTGAATGGCTTTAAAAGGAATTTAGGCAAATTCTTGGATAATATGGCTGTCAGTGGCTGCTAGTCCTCATGACTGTATCAGACCTGTGGCACCAGTGGAAGTACACTTGTGCATGCCTGTTGCTAGGGAACTTGATGAGCAGGAGGGTGCTACCACAGATATGTGGGCTTCCTTTTGAGACATCTGATTAGCAAACTGTGCGAACAGAATATCAGGCCTTTGGTCTGATCCAGCAGGACACTTCTTATGTTCTTATGCCGACGAAGAGTCTGTCCATCAGTGTAATATGTTGTTAAATGATGGTGCAGTGGCAATAATTTATATTGTTAATTTATATTGTTTTATTGAATTCTATTTATTTATGGTTGTGAGCCGCCCCGAGGCTTCGGCGAATGGGGCAGCATATTTATTTATTTTATTTATTAAAACATTTTTATGCCGCCCCATTCGCCGAAGCCTCGGGGCGGCTTACAACAATAAATTAGATCCACATAAATAAAAATTAAAATATATACATTAGCATAAAAAAAGCATAGAAGTCCCCTAAGTAATAAATAAAATTCCATGAGGATTCCATCAGGGAACAAATATGCTTGTGCTGCTTGATGGTCTACTGCAGAGTGTGCTTTTAGATATACTCTTGTACAATAAAACAAACACGTCTGTAGAACATCTCAGAGTTCAAGCATTAAAACTGAGTCACATAGAAATCCCATGGAGTGGAGCTCTTCCAACAGTGTGGCAGCTGGACTCAGTGGCCCACAGAGCACCTGTGCAAAGCTGTGTGTGCGTAGAAAGCCTGCTGATGGTGCTTTTGCAGGGCATAGCACAGGTGGCCTTGGCTCTGTGGGATCCAAAGTCTCATAATTCCCCTGAGAAGGCCTGTAAGCTGCTGTTCTCAGTTCCCTGGACTACTGCGACCAAGGGGGGAAGGAAATAAAAGCACACAGTAAACAACTGGAGGGCTGGATTGAACTGGCAGGACTTGGGAAGTGGTGGGCAGGCTACCACTTTGCTCCCTCCCACCCACCCACTTAGAACCACTGTACGATTCAGGTAAAAACAATGGCTCAGTCAGATAAATGCTTTCAGACATTTTTTTTGGTCTGTCTCAAGTAAGCCAGTTCGGAGAATAATGAACAAATCCTGCTGGGCAGGGAGTTGCAGAACTCTGCTCTGCTTGCTGTGTTCATTTACTCTAGAGTAGGCTGTTGTGCTGACAGTTCATGAATGGGTGGGAGAACCTTACAGGTCTGATTTTCCCAAACTTGTGGTTCCCAGATGTCATCATCTCTGGCAAGCCTAGGTAATAATAATAGGAATGATGGGAATTGTGCCTGGATGTGCACATGATAGGCATGCCATGAGTGGAGCTGGGGATCAGACTAGATGGCCTGGGAGACCCCTTCTCACTCTGTTTCTGTGCTTCTAAACTATACTTGGACCCTTGGGAAGGGCTGGATGGCATGGATGCTTGTGTGCTCTACGAGTGTTTCCTCTGGAGTCAGGGTGCTCAGGATTACAGCCTATGTTAGAATGGAAGCCCCTGGTTGCATTCAGACATAATGACATGATTTATAATTATGAGAACAAGCCTCAGCCTCTCCCATGCATCCGCTGGTGTGGCCACATGGAAGAGAAGGGAAGTTTCCACTTCTGTTTTAGGTTAACCTCAGTTTAATGTGGCATATGAGCTATAGACTGGCATTTATCATAGCTATGTTTAGTTGAAACCAGCTTGCTTCATTACCTGTAGTTAACAAAGGCCGCAGTTTGACTTGGCAAGCTGCAGTTAGGCTAAAACAGAAGGAAAAGCTTCTGGACTCTTCACACTACTCATGACACCTGTGCAGCCCATGCCTAGGCATGTGTGCCCAAAGCAAGTCATACTGGACTTGCTCTCTAATACAGAGACAAGCGGATTTCAGGCTTCCTGAATCTTCCAGGAATCTACATGTGTTACTAGAACTTGTTCATACTCGTATCATCAACCAACCAAACAACCAACCAACCAATTCTTTATCTGGTCATTGACCAGCAAGTAAAACACAAAATTACAATTAGTTAAGATAAGAAAAGTTAAGATAAGAAAAATACAGTTGTAGATGCAGTTATTCTAAAAGGAATCTAACAGCAATTAGAATTAATTCTATTGTACAAACTATTGAGCTGTACTTGAGAAAAGAAATAAAGAGAGAGAATAAAGAAATAAAATCGGATCAATCTGATAAAAGCATCTTAAGATAAAATACATTAGAAAGATCAGGATATTTATGCCAGTCACCTGTACTATAAACTTCAGGAATGGGTTGTAACTGAGAATATTTTGTCTGACAAGCAGGCTTTGGAGAAGGCCACTCAGTCATTGACCATGCTTTAATGGTCCAACCTCTGGTTGAGAAACACTCCTCTGGAGCACATTCATCATGCTGTGCAGCATGTATTGACCTTAGATGTGCTTTTGACCTCATCTCCAGATCTAAACTCCAGGAGAAACTGAACTCTTCTTCAATTGATAAAAGATTACGTGTGCTTATATACTGATTATACGAGAACTCTTGGATGAAGGTGCAATGCCATGCCCAAGGACAATGCACACAAAACAATCCTGGTTAAAAGGGGAGTGAGACAACGATGTATACTAGCCCATCTTCTTTATAATATATAGATTAACTCTCTTATTGATCAACTGGATAGCCCATCTCTTCATCCACTGATATAGGGAAATAGACACATCTCTGTTCTTTTGTATGCAGATGATGCTGTGCTTCTTCCACAACTCAGATTGGCCTGAAACAGGCAATCCACGTACTATCTGAATACTGCCAAGAAGAAAGTTTAGAAATTAACTACTCTTAAACCAAAGTTGTGGTTTTTGCCAAGTGCCCTAAGACACATGTTTGGCAATTAAATAACCATTTAATAGAGCAAGTTAAATCCTTCAAATATCTGGGGATTGTCTTTCATGCTATGGGTAACCATAAACCTCACGCTGACCACATGGGGCAGTGTTTCCAAACCCTGGATCATTTTTGTTGCCCTCTACTGGACTTTTTCTAATTTTTGTGCATCTTTCTTAAATCTTGGTGCCCAGAACTGGACACAATATTCCCGATGAGGTCTGACTAGTGAGGAGTATAAGGGAACTACTACTTCTCATGATTTGGAAGTAATACTTCTGTTAATGCATCCCAAAATAGCATTTGCCCTTTTGGCAGCTGCATTGCATTGTTGGCTCATTTTTAGTCTATTGACCACAATTACTCCAAGATCTTTTCGTTTTCAGTTCTGTTGAGCCATGTATTCCCCATCTTGTTTCTTTTTCCTAGGTGGAGGACTTGGCACTTATCTCTATTGAATTTCATTCTGTTGCTTTCAGCCCAGTGTTCATCAAGATTGCCCTGGATCTTCCTTCTGTCTTCTAGGGTGTTTGCTATTCCGCCCAGTTTTGTATCATCTGCAAATCTGATTATCTTTCCTTGTACTTCCTCATCTGAAAATCATTAATAAAGATGTTGAAGAGCACTAGGCTCATAACTTAGAGGAAGAAGATTGAAGAGTTGTACATTTCCCAGACAGAGTTCAATTCTTAGAGTGAGCAGCAAACATTAGTTGGTTTCAAGACTGCATCAGGGTCTGCCTCTTCTTTGCCTGTAATAACCTTTTATATTTCCTCTTGTATAGGAGCAGATCTTGAATTCAGTTTGAGAAAGGATCCTTTTTATATTCCTTGAAACAGAAGTTAGTTGTCTTTTAGCTGTATGGCAATCACTGTCGAACCAGGGTTGATTGAAGGAGCTCTGCTTTCTGTAAGTGCCAGATGGACAGGTAGAAAGGATTGGCTGAAGGTGCTGAACTAGCCGAGTATAAGATGGCAGAGTCTGATTGGAGGATGATTGCATGTAGTTGGAGTGACTTGTTGAAGAGAGGGTTTGAGTTAACCTGTCCTTCATTTGGCCTGTCCATTTTGTTCATATTTATCCCTTGAGAATATCTTCAGATGGAATGGGGTGAATGTTCAAAAGGAGGGCATTAAAGGGCTTCAAAAGCAACACACTGGGACAGCGATCACTTTCAGGATGATTGTCAATATGGAACTGGAGAATTAAAGAAGATAAATTCCTTGATATGGCAACTCTGCCAGGTGGTCTGTGATTTTAGCACCATTCAAAATCTGCAGATC